TCCATGCCTTCTTTTTGTCTGTAACCTTTAACTACAAGTCTTGCTTTATACTTGTCAATTGAACCATCTGCTTTCATTTTTCTCTTGAATATCCATTTATATCCAAGAGGTTTAGAACCTGGTGGAAGATCCACCAATTCCCAAGTATGATTTTGCATAATGGATTCAATTTCATTATTAACAGCCTCTTTCCACAAAGGTGCTTCAGGACCTGTCATTGCTGCCTTAAAGCTTTGAGGTTCATTTTCTAACAAGTATGTCAGAAAATCTGGACCAAAGGATTTTGATGTTCTTGCTCTCTTACTTCGTCTTGATTCATCATCAGTTAAATCTTGTAGGTCGAGACCATTACTAGTCTCTTGTGTTTGATTGTCATTAGTCTCTTGACTTTGTGTACAATCATAAGTTCTTTTCTATGAACTTAATTCATGTCATTTCTTGTAAGGAAATACATATTAAAAAAATACAGCAGTCTTTGACTCTATAATAGTGTTCGCATTTATATCTGGTATTTCTGATTTATAAGTCAGAACCCGATATGCACTACTATTCTAAGCATAACTAATAAACACACAATCTACTATTTTTTTGTCAAATCTTAGTCTTTTTAGGAACAGGAACTTCAACTTTTGCCAAACACCCCCACACTTTTAAGTATTTGTAGGAAGGTGGTCGACCTTTCCACAATTCATAAGGAATGCTTTTGGTCTTCTTGTGGGATATTTTATTAAGAACATAATTAGCAGACAATATTGCTTCCTCCCACAAGTTTTGTGGTAAGCCTGAACTTAGTAACATGGCATTCATCATTTCTTTTAGGGTTCTATTCTTCCTTTCAGCAATTCCATTTTACTGTAGAGAATAAGGTGTTGTAGTTTGGTGAATAATGTCATGTTGTGCACAAAATTCATTTAATGGTGCATCATATTCACCACCCCTATCACTTCTAATATAATTAATGGTTTTTTCAAGTTGATTTTCAACTTCAATTTTGTAGAGTTTAAATATTTCTAAGGCTTCATATTTGCTTCTAAGTAAGTATACATAACAATATCTTATGCAGTCATCGATAAATGTTATGAAATACTTTTTGCCTCCTCTAGTTTGAATAAATTTAAGATCACATACATTAGTATGAATTAATTCTAGAGGTTCGATTTTTCTTTTAACCGATTTAAATGGAGCCTTAATTAGTTTCCCTTTTTCACAAATCTCACATTTGTGATTAAGATCAATTTCAAACTTTGATATATAATCCAAACCAATTAATCTACGCAAAGCATCAAAATTCACATGTCCTAATCTACCATGCCATAAATTTGACTCAAGAATATAAACAAAAGATGTGTTATTCTTATTCATAGCAACTTAACATAAAAGATTTCTTAAATTTACTTTCCAATTAAATGGAACGATATAACTACATACATCTTCATGTTTAAATTTCTCTGGTGTTTAAATACCCATTCAAAATTGATTGGAAAAAACTCAAATTAATCAACATATCAATTTAACATTCCAAATCACATGAAATTTTTGTTAAGAAATAACTTGAGTTGACATCACACATGCATATCAAACGCATCAACTAAAAATAATAAATTAACAAAATAAATTAATCATGCATGATCCCAAAATTTGCATCATGAAATAAAAAGATTCTCAACTCATAAATAAAATTCAATGTGTTTTGAATTTTAAACTCCAAAATGACAAAATATACCTTCATTTAATAAGTTTGATTTATACATAAATAAACTAATTAAATATGCATGCAAAAGTCCTTGTGAATATATATTATTCCGACTCATATGCAGAAACTATTCACGACTAGAGATCCACACACAGAAATTTAAAAATGATTCAAAAAACTAATAAAGAAACTAAACTTGCCACAAAAGTTTCTTTGTAATAAAAATGAAATTTGTTTGTAAATTAATATTTTACTCCAGAAACAAATTCTCCCATCCACTACGATAAAGTTAAAAGAACTATGATAAATTAACAAAATTAATTTTCTAGTTACTAAAACCAGAAAATAAATTATAACATAAAATAATTTTATTTTTCTCGTTACTAAAACTAGAAAATACTGTAATTTTATTTTCCATGTTAGACAAAACTATTTGATTACAAAAATCAGAAAAAACACAAAATAATTTTCTAGTCACCAAAACCAGAAAATAAATTAAAACACAAAATAATTTTATTTTCTTTGTTACTAAAACTAGAAAATAATATAATTTTATTTTCCTTGTTACTAAAACTAGAAAAACAAAATACTAAAATAATTTTCTGTAGCACCAAATAATATTTTGCAATTGTTAATGACACCAGTATATTACTACTAGTTGTCAAAGAAAAGAGATAGTATATTACTACTATCTGTCAAATAGCATAAATCACTATTTATTTTTCCAACCAGAATATTACTTTGAAAACACTGAAAATTAAATACAATGAAGATACCAAAAAGAGTCTGTCTTAAGATTGTTGGGCAATCTTCACTGTATTTAAATAAATTAAATTATGTTGTGTACTAAACAACAATCAAAATAAAAAGAAATAAAGGAAATGAGAGAATTTGTTTGATTACAAAAATCAAACTCGAAATAAAAATAAATAAATAAAAACAGATTTTATTTTGTTACAAAAACAAAATTAAAAAATCTGATTTAATAAATAATAATAACACTGAAAATAAATTAAATAACTTACTTGATTTAATTTCTTCGAATTATAATCTGATCAAGTCCAGTGTTTGACACTGTGTCCTTAAGACGGATTCGTCCTCTCCACGGTGCTTTCAGAATTTGGACGTCTATCTCCCAAGATGAAATGATCTACTACAAACAATAGCAGCACTACAAATTGTTTCTCTTACGAACACACTAAGTGTTTACACTTTTTCTTTTAGAAAATAAATGCAGCAAAATGCAGAGATTTATAGCAGAGGATGGAGTACAAAAATTGAGTTAAAATTCAAATGGGAGGCTAGTCTATTTATAGATGTAAAGGTGGCTCTTGGTTTTGAATTGAACGGGTATGAAACCTGTTGGTTTTGAATTCAAACAGATTTGAATCTGATGGGTTCAAATTTAAACAGATACAAAAACGAGAAGGGCTCTGTTTGGGTGTGCAATAATACCAAACTGATTTATTTCGGGAAGGGCCCTGTTTGGATGTACAGAAAAAGCAAACCAGTTTAATTTTAAATTATGGATTTTATTTTACCAAAATTAAAATCAAAAGTTTTTGACCCAAAAAAGATTGGTATTGGGCCGAACAAGCCCAACCCAACCTCACACCACGCACCCGCGCCCAGGCCCAGCCCAGCCCGCCCGACCGGACGGGTGACGCGCGCGTGTGTGGTAATTTTTTGGTCCAATGAGTCTAACCCATTTTGCTCATAATCTCTCCCTCTAAAACACTTGGGTACCCCTTGGGGCACAACTCAAGTATCAAACCCAAGCCTTATAAATCCATTCAAAACTTCCCACCAAATCAATGTGGGACAAGCCAATTTGCAACCTTAAGGAATTTCCACCAAAACTCCATTTCCATGGAGCACACTTTGGCTTCAATTTTTCATTCACTCGGTAATGATTTTGAGCAACCAAATATACCACGTGAATCAAAACGCGGCATAGAACGCGTTACCACTTTGACCCGTGAAAATCGACGCACGAGGCCCACCTAAAAGATAGACCAAACTTAGAAAAAAATTCTGATTTTACCCAAAATTTTATAACCATTTCCAACACATTCAACCAAATTGCTATCAGAATTTGCAGAAGCTTCAGCAATGGTTGCCATACGATGTTCCTTCCTTGTAAGCAGCTCAAGAAGCACAATTCCAAAGCTATATACATCTTTCTTATCAAAACCCAGCTCCAACAATTCCTCATTCGTGAAAGGACTCCCACCCAAAGCAGCATCATTCGAGTTCATGAACTTTGCCTCCCCAAAATTACAGATCTTGGGCTCAAAATTCTTATCTAGTAATACACATTTTGAGCTTATGTTTTGATTGAATACCCGGAATTTTCTATCGTGATGGTGAAGCCATGCCAATCCTCTTACTAACCCAACAGCAATTTTAACCCTCACAGGCCATTTCATGGTCTTGAGCTCGCAATCCGTAGGGTGTAGCCAATCATAGAGGTTACCATTTGGCATATATTTGTAAACCAACAGTTTTTCCTTTCCTTCATAACAGAAACCAAACAGAGGTACTAAATTAATGTGTCTCAATCTACCTAGAGTCATTACCTCGAACATAAAGTGTCCTTCAGAGAATTGTGAGTCGAAGAACCTCTTGATGGCAAGGAACGAACCATTTGAGAAAACTGCCTTGTACATTGTCCCTGTCTTTCCCAACCTGAGGATGTTGTCTTCTCTAAAATTTTCAGTAGCATTCACGAGTTCTATGAAGCTTATTCTAGTAACCAACTTCTCTAATTTAGAAATCTATAAACCAAATTATAGTATCAACTACAAGGGAAAACAAAAAGTAATTGGCTGAATAGTCTAAAAATGAGTCCAGAGAGAAAGAACACAGACTCTAATTTGGATCTGCAAACAATAAAAATATATTAATCCAAATGTTTGAAATTGAGTCTAGAAGAAGATGCCATCACCCTGTTTATAAACAATATGTTATAGACAAACATTGTTTGTTACCCATAATAGGAGGTTATATATTATACCTATTCAGATTATAATTAAGAACATAAGATACAGCGGCTTTGGTATGTTGTAATTGCATTTGCTTTTCTTACACCACTTGAAATTGAGAAAGAGCAAAAATTCTAATTAGAGGGATAACTGACAACAAACAAGGAACAACTGAACATGGAGGGGGAAATGATGCAAAATGTATGAAGAGAGAGAGAGAGAGATGTTCAACCTTGGGATGATTCCGAAAAGATTGTTCCCTGAAAGATCTAAACCGGTCAAGGCGGTGCAGCTTGAGAACCCTCGAGGAAATTGACCCTTGAGTCCCAAGCCTGAGAGTCGGATATTTAACACCTTGTTCTCATCATTCTTCCAGCACTCTATTCCCTTAAATTTACAGATGAAGCCCTTACTCGTGTCGCTGAAATTCCATGAAGAGCCTAAGTAATTGAAAGGGTCTTCCAAGGAATCCTTTATTGATTTCAAGCAGTAAATATTACTCTCTTCAATCTCAATTTCATTGGATAATACTATGCGAAAGTTGCTCATAAGTGACAACCAAACAACGGTTTTGAGGACAGTAAGGACTGCTGCATTGAAAGCCATTTGTATGAAAACCGACACACTACTTACACAGAGAAAGCAATTTAGAATCTCTTCGTAACTAAAAAAGAAGGGCAAAAAAAACAACTGTGGGTTGGAACTTGGAATTAAAAGCTTCTTCAGAGACAAGAGCCGTGCAAAATTGAAATTGTAATCTACAATAACAGGTATTTCGATTTAAAATGAAAAAATAAATAAATAAATTCACGAAAGTCACATCTTTTCATATAAGCCTTCACTTCTGTTTCTTTTCTCGTGTTGCAATGCATGGAAATCAAACTGGGAGGAGGTTTGTTGGGAATTAGGGTTTTCTTTGCCAGGTCGCGTCCACTCGGGAAGGTAGGAAGAACATCGCTGTCTCGTGGCCTCAATAATCAAACGAAGAGCTGACGCATTACAAGATTGAGAGGGTTGAAAAACCTCACCACAATCCTTTATCATTTACACCTTGACAGAATTTTAATGATCCATGAGACACTACACACATATTGCGTTTCATTTTATAAGATGTTTTGTGTGTATACTATTTATGGAAAAAGTTAAATATTCATAATTCATAACATATTCATCCCATCACATTTGTCCTTCAAATTTTTTATTTTTTATTTTTAATAATATAGACGTTGTCTATTTTTTTTATAAACAAATATGATAAAATGAAAATATAATGATTATCCAATTGATTTTTATTTTTATTTTTTATGAATAATATATATTAATGGTCTTATAAAACACATGCTTCAAATACTGTATTAGATCCCACAAACCCATCAAATTCTCTCAAGTTCATATTTGAACTTCAAGAAAAATTCAACCCATTTTTTATTAATTTTATTCATCATTTGCATGACACACTTATGTGTATTTAATTAATAAAATTTTAAAAAATTATCTTTTCCTAACATTTTTAAGTCCAGTTTTTCTTAAAAAAATTTGTATACTTTTTTTTCTTTCAAATCCTTCTAGTTTAAAAGAATTTAAAAAGTAAATTTTTTAATAAAAAATTAATAAATAAAATAAAATTCCTTTTTTTTTCCATTTAGTAGACTTTTTTCAAATTTATTTATTTATCTATATATATAGGACCTTTTAGTCTAGTAAGACATACAAGTGAAAAAAAAAATTTGGAATTTTTTTTAAAAAAAAGTTTACCCCAAAAAAATAAAAAAAAAATCAACAAAATCATTACTAGAAAAATAATTGGCAAACAAGTCTTAATCACGATAAGTGTGCTCTATGATCATGTTTGATAACCAAATTAAAATGAGGTTGTGAATATTCGCTTTAAATTCTTTTTATACCCATTATATGTATTTATAACTTTTTAATTAAAAAAAAAATCTGATAACATAAAAATACAGAAAAATATTTGTGCACTTATTTTAGAAGACACATTAGAAGGATGAATTAGTACTTGCTTAGAGGACGAGACATTAGAAGAATCAGTTACTGTCTTCCAAAAATTTTGTATTGGTAATATGCTTTGACGAATAATATAAATTATATGAATACATGACCCTAAAAATAAGAAAATAGTAGATAAGTTATAAAATATTATTAGACGGGCACACCAACACGTAATATTCGAGACCTACTAAATAATTCCTGCAATAGAAGGAAATTAGGAGAGAAAAATATGTAGGTCATAGTTGTCCTACTCCATCGTTTGTTTGGCCATTTTTTTAGTTTATGATAACTTCTGAATTTCTTATCCTCCTTACGGGAAATTACTTCCTTATTGGGCTTGATAGGAAAGTTTCTGAATTTCTTATCCTCCTTACGGGAAATTACTTCCTTATTGGGCTTGATAGGAAAGTTTCTCTTAACAAGGCATTTTACTTATTATAAAACAATTATACAATAATTTACACACATAATAATATTGTCAAATACAAAAATATATTTTTTTTAAAAAGCATCTAATAAAAAGTATTGGATGCATATCTTATACTCCTGTCCAAGTGTAAGGTGTATCTCACACGAGTAGTTGATTCATTTTAAGCAATCCATATGTCATTTTAAGCAATCCATATAACATAGCTTAATTTTTTTGAATTTTGTCAATTTAGTTTTCAAAGTATAAAATGTGAGTTTAAAATGGCTCCTAGTGCTTTTTTTCTTCTTCCCATTAAGTAAGATGTTAGTAAGTTAAATTATCGCAACCATACATTCAACACTTCTTCATAAACTCGAACCCCGAATTTCTTTATAAAAATCTAGAGGCACAACAACCATTTGAGCTATACTGAAGTTTGTCTATGGTGCTCCAACCATCCAAATTGATTAATAGGAATAAGAATATTTGAAATTTGACATGAAATCTCAACAAAATTAAAATGACCAAAGATACAAACGTCTCAAAAGTATACACTTCTTTGCAAAGTCCCCAATCTTTTAATTTTATTATATTTGATATGTATTGTTCTGAAAATACTCGGCTCCAATTAATCAATTTAGACTGCGTGAACATTGGAAACCATTTAAACTTGCATTTGTAGTTTGGAGATCAAGTTGACAAGCATAAAAAATTGGAGCTTAAAGTGCAACAAAGTGTATACTTTAGAGACATCGGTGTAATTAGTCTTAGGATAAACTGCCAATAGGTCCTAATAGTTGGACTTAATTCTTATTAAGTCCTATTGAAAATTAGTCCTAGTAAAATCGTCGTTAAAAATAATTGTGACAATTTTTTACATATGTCGCAAAAATTGACAATTAGTGAATTTTTTTTATCACAATTTAACTATCGCAAAAAGTTAAAACGATTTTTTTTAAAAAGTTGCTAAAGCTTATAATTAGTGATATTTTTTGTGACAAGAAAATTAACAATTAGTGACATTTTTTTAATAGTCTTTGATGAAAAACGTCATTAATTATCATAGGACCTATTTGATAGTAAGTCCACTTATTAAGATTCACACGTAAGTACCCTCAGTTCTACTTTTATATTGACAGATTATGCATATTCAGAGATTAAAGAATCATGAATCATACCTGGTCTCAGTAGTCGGGTTATACAATCATCTGATTCCACTCTCTTTACACATGTCAATATACAGGCATTGTCAATTGTCCTACACAAACTCATTGGAGTGGTCAATAAAGAGAAGTATGAATAGCATAGCCAAGTCGTAAAATCTTAATTGGACAACCATAGCAGGGACTAAAAGAACAAAATACTAAAGATTAGACAAACCCAAATTGGTTTCCAATGTAAATATCTGATCAACAATATAGTATGATAATTCACAGACTACATATCCATAATGAAAGCCTTGGAATTTCACAAGTGTCTGCCAGTAATTTAGTCAGAAACAGAGGTTTTGACATCTGTCGTCTTTTTCTATTTTTAAAAAAATAAAAAATAAAAAAATCTAAGAGTATAATCGTGAATTAACATGTCCACAGCAGAAGCTGATAATCAGAAGCAAGGGGTGAGCAGCTTCTCAGAATCAGCTTTTTTGACTTAAAATAAGTTGTTAGAATCAGAAGCTGTTTGAAATAAGTTTAACCAAACAGTCCAAAATAACTTTTTAAAAGCCAGAAGCCATAAGTTGGCTCAAAAAAACCCCACCAAATACCCCCTATGAATAGCATAACCAAGTCATAAAATCTTAATTGGACAACCATAGCAGGGATTAAAAGAACAAAATACTAAAGATTTGACAAACCCAAATTGGTTTCCAATGTAAATATCTGATCAACAATATAGTATGATAGTTCAGAGACTACATATCCATAATGAAAGCCTTGGAATTTCACAAGTGTCTGCCAGTAATTTAGTCAGAAACAGAGGTTTTGACATCTGCCTCTACTCAATTCATGATTGCCTACATTATTTAATCAATTTCTTTTTATTATCAAACTCAAAACAAGTATTTATGCCACAATATAGCAGCTGCTTCATGATCACAGGACAAAAGATTTATACACCTTTGGAATACCAAGAACAAATACAACAGTTTGACTATTGTTTTGCTGTTAAGCTTCCAAGGGAGAGTCTACTTTCCTAGAGGACCAATTATGAAGCCAAGAAATCTATATCTAGCTATTTGGAAGGAATCCGATTTAGTATAAACAATTTAATTGCTGATAAAGTATATAAATGCTTGATAATGATACACTATCTAAGCTCACAAGTGACTGAATTATATCAACTGTTGAATCTAGTCAAAAATATTTTTCACATTTGAGGAAACTGTGAAAAGATTCATCAACAGTTATTTTATGAGCATGATCAACAAAAAATTCCAACCACCTCTGAAATTTTGAGAAGTCCCCTAAACTTTATGGATTTGATAGTAATACGAGTTTGAAATGTAGTTCCCTATAGCATAATTCTCTGAGTTGATGCTAAATTTCATCAACATAATGGAAGCTGGGAAGAAACTCAGGAAAAAAAAAAGGTTTCATTTTCATGGCTCGCTATACTTCTTTTGTATGAGCTCATTAGCAATTTTCTTTCCTAGCACATAAGGTTTCTACAAATCCAGTCCACCTGAAAGCACAAGCAGAAATGTATTATTGTAACCTCTAACAGCCAAAAGTAACAACACATCTTTTGGTAAGCAATAATTTATAATTCAATTAACTCAGTTATCTAACTTGTACGGCGACATAGAATATAAATCAGAAGAATGAGGTAGAAGTTAAATGAATACTCAAAATTTTCAATGTTAGCAACAATTTAAAAGTTAAGTTTGCAATGTAGTACAGTCTTTTTTATACATAACAAGGAACCCCTGACCCCACCTTTGGTGAGCCACAGAGTAAAACCCCAGATATATGCAGCCACCCGCTAGTCTCACATATCAGGCAAAGTAGAGACTCAAAGCTAAGACCTCCTTGTTGTTTACCTAAGGACATACCATTTGAGCTAGCCCTCATGGGTCGCAATATTGTGCATGTTGCTTGATTTTAGTACATTTTTTACTCCCTTGCAACTTGCAATAGTACCAGTATTGGATGAAGGCCATATAAGTGGGACAGATAGTCAAGATAGATGCTAAGTAAAACTTTAACTGTACAGGGATTTTAAATTGAAACAGACATAAATATGGAAGACCGACCAATAGTTCCAATAAGACCAAAAGGAAATTTACGGTCCATAATCATGTATACTTGTGGGTGTTTGGGAAGTTACTATTTTAGTAGGCTATTTTAGTTTTTGGCTATTTTGGTATGCTAAAATGTTGGCCTTGTTTGGTTTGCTTTTGAGAGTAATTTTGGAAAAAAAAATTCAAAATTTTTTTTGGATTAGTGATTTTGGAAAAAAATTCTAAAATCACTCTCTCTCCTACACACAAATCAATAACTTTTCTCTCTCCTCTCTCCTTCTCAATCACTTTTTCTCTCACACACTTCTACTCAACTACAATAAAATATCAAATCATCCCAAACTCTCATACTCCAAAACAATTTCCAAAATATACAACCAAACAAACCAAAAAAATTTCTAAACTCTCTCCCTAAAATTTTTTTTGAAAATTTATCTCCCAAAACCAAACCAAACACACTCTGTGTTTGGGAAGATAATTGGATTTTTTGTAGTTAAATGTGATGTGTGTGAGAGAAAAAGCAAAATGATTATGGGTTTGATGTGACATCTTGTCTTATTGGCTATTTTAACTTGTTTTGTCATTTTGTGGATTTTAGCTCAAAAAGCCAAAAAAAAGCCTTAGCCAACACACACTAGGTCTTAGAATTATTACCTGAGAGAAGTCAATGCAGGCTGTTTGGAAGAAGGAAAAGAGTGCTGATCTAACAAAAGGAAGTCTTCAGCACCACCCTGGGAATTCCCTCAATCTGGAAAAGTACCTACGTTAACCAATGAATAAAACCCTTCCCATGGATCGTATAATCCACAAGGAATACATATAAGTTGGCATCAACATCCAGCTTGGAGAAATAATTCAGTCATAAAACTACCAGTCATGATCTGTGAGTGCATGAGCAAATTCTAAAATTTAAATCAAAGTTAAAGACATCGATCACAAAACTACCAGTAATGCCAGTGAGTTCTTGAGTAAATTGCAAACTTCAAATAACAACTTCCACATTTTATACTACCAATGACCTAAATAGAAGGCTTTGTTTATCAGCTAATACAATAATGCACAGATAACTTGATAATGAAAACAGATATTGTATACACATTATATATATGCAAATTATACAGAATGGAAAGATTGCTAATTTTCACAAGAGATGGAAAATGTACTTCAGAAGTCCAAATTTCACATACCTCGAAAAAAAGTAAAGAATTCAATCCACATGAAAATTCTGATTTTCGCAATATGTTGAACTATCATTTGTCTCTGTAGAAGTATTAGGAATTGAGAAAACTACCAACATCTTTAGCTATCATTATCACGAGAAAGTCCATTAAAAAATTACAATAACATATCTGGTAAGTCCTATATTAATCCTGCTCATGAGATTACAATCATTATGCAGGAGATCTTCAACAAGCAGAATAATTGTAATGATCTTCAACAAGCAGAATAATTGTAATCAGGAGACAGGATCTCTCCATGAACCAAGATTTCCATTCAATCTGGATTTATTAGGCAACCAAAAATTCCACATTTAATAGAAATACAGGATGTAGATACCAAGCTCACGTTATGTTTCTTCTTCGCAGCACCACTTTGGAAATCTCTCGATCCACTGCAGTGCCTAAAAAGTCTACATAAAATGATCTCCCCATCAATTCTTCACATATCTTACAACTCGGAATTCATGGCACACCCAATGGCATATCTGAGAATTTTGTCCAATGGGGTCAGTTTAGTTTTATTTACCCGCAAGTTGAATTACATCAGACCAAATGAAATTATTCATTAAAAAATGTTTAATTTCAACCCAATTCAATTTAGCTCATTTTAAAAAAATTAAAAATCAAATCCTAATTGTATTTTTATTTTTTTTTGTGTGTTCTAGGATGACTCTAAGATTCTATTTTTCCATAAGTGTTCATTCAGATCAATGAGTTCACATGAAAAACCCACTCAAAACTAACAAATACATTACAAATAAAGTTAGTTTTCTTTTTTTCAATTTGATGGGGTCAGCTGACCTCATACTCATACTCATACACCTAGTGCTACCCCTTGGCACATCTTATGACCCACGAGGATACAAGGCTATGTATATGTTGGCGTCAACTTTCACTTTAAAGAAATACTCGTTCATAAAACTACCAGTCATGAACAGAGTGAGTGAGTCAATTATATACATAAATTGAACTATTCAGGTTCAGTCCCCCTCACCCCTGCTTTTTCCCCTTGTTTTGCCGGATTAGGATTTTAGTTCTTCTAATCATTGGGAGCTGAAATAAGGCGAGAACCTGAAGCCTACAACTGTATCAGGGACAATCTAATTCTTGGTGTTCAAGCATCATACAATACATTTATGCACATGGAATTTGGAAGAAATTTAACTTTACACTAACAATATATGACATTCTAAAAAACAGAAAGATATTTTGTTTTGCACTGAAAGAAGTGGAATTATATACTTTAGGAGTCAACTCTCCATACCTTGCAATAAAATACACAAATCAACACCATTTGATAACAATAGGAATCTCACTATGCAAAAGCTCTGATATTCACAAAATATTGAACTGTGATCTGCTTGTCTTCATACAAGTACCAGGAGCTAAGAAAACTACTGAAATCTTCAGGTATACTCTACCAACGTAATCAATGAAAGAAGCTTAGTAATGCATTTGCCAATCCACGCAGTCATCAAAGTCAAAACTGCTTGCACAGTCCAACAATGCATTTTGCTGCTGCTCATACCGACATATATAATTTAGCCCAACTAGAAGTTCACAGACAGCTGTCTCAGTCTTTTCCCTATCAGCAAAATATATAGTCTGCAACAGAAGGACATTTGTCCGTGTAACAATCTGCTGTTGTTCAAAATTACGCTCACTTTGCCATCTGATCATGTTATGTGCTAATGGGGCAAGCCATTTCAGTATCCCATCAAGCCTCTCTTTCCAATCTTGGGCAAGAGGAGCATCATATATTGCCAAGTCTTTGACATAAGACTTTAGACTAGTCTTCAAAGTCATTTTTAAGCTTGTTGGTAACATCTGATATAGATCGTCCCTAGCTTCTTCCCCAACCAAATGTGGGTATCGAAGCAATTTTTCTATGACAATTATAACATTCGCATAATGCAAGGCAAGAGCAGAGCCTCCAATAGTGGAAGGAGGAGCATATAATGCTAACCTACTTTTGAGGCCAAAACGAGAGCCATTTATTGCACTACACTTAGCTTGCCATTGGTCTCCACTGAAAAGAACTCCACTTTGAGCCCGAGCAATCCACCCTGAATGATTTGGGAGTTCTCTTTTCATTGCACTCGCCACACTACAAGAAGCCGAAGTTTGACTACTTCGATCATCATGACCAACACCTTCACCATCATCATCATCGTCCACTTTAGAAGCCGAACTGCTCAAACTAAGGCATTCCATGAAAAGCCTCCCCGGGCCCGTCCCACACGCAAAATTAAAGTCTTGTGGACGGAATGCCAGCACTTCAGCTCTATGCGATGCAAGCTGAGGACTAACATCTGCCCTTCTTTTCTCTACCACAGCTCTCTCAATTGGTCCTGAGTGAGAGTGATTATTAGCATTACTCTTGCGCAAAACAGGCCTTAATTGATCAGAACTCATCCGAAAATTGTGATGCATATCAATTTGACCAGATTTCTGCCCACATTCATCCTTTGAAGGAGCCAAACCGCCTTCAAAACCAAATTGCGCACCCGAAACAGAATCAGAATCACCCGTTAACTCTCCCCTCAAAACAGCATCACCAAACACCATACAAATCCTCGCGTAAATCGTACAGGCGGTCCTCGCCAACAACTCCACAACCTTATCATAGGTTTGGTTCCAAAGCGAAACATCCTTGAGATGCCTCACATCCTGCTTCTGCCACATCAATTTCTGCTCGAAAGCCTTCCGGCTCTCCTCGTGCTGGTTCTGCTGAAACTTTTTGGTAGCAATCTCCAATTCATTCAAAACCTCCATTTCACTGTAGAGATTTGCAGTGGAATTCACATACCTCTCCATCTTCCTCACCATCCCATCCATATCCTTCACCAAAAACCCTAATTCCTTCACATCTATTGCTCCCCTCACTATATCCCCATACACATGCTCGAACCCTTGAAGCGCAGGAACCGAACACTTCTTCCCTAACCTCGACACGACTCCGGCGACCCTGTTCAGGTCTTCGAGCTTCTCCGAAAGGGCAAGCTCGAGGAGATAGGTCTCGTCAGAGGAAACTAGGGTTTTTACGCCCTCGGATTTCAAGATCTCGTTTTTAAGTCTAGAGATCTCGCGAGTGGTCAGGGATTTGTGGAGGTGAAGGGTTTTGGACATGACATTGGCGACTTCGAAAGAGAGGATTCCGATTGTTTGCTTGTGGGTTTGGTGGTTTTTTGTGGTTGTTTTCTTGGAAGATTGTTCGAGGAGAAGAGCGTGCTTGAGATTTGAACTTACTTGGTTACCCATTTTCAGAATCCAAGGCTGCGCCGCCACCATTGCTGTTGCAGCAAGCTCTCGAAATCTTGGACTTTGCTACAGATCTAAATCGAAGTTTTGTCCAAGTTTCAGCATAGATAAGGAGAGCTTGAAGGTTAGAACTTTAAGGGTGCAGTGTGTATGGAGGGATGGGATGGAAAGAACAACCCAAGTGGCGAATGAAGATTGTGGAGTGGTAATCGATTCTGTGGTGAGGAAAGTTGGAGTAGTGCTTGAATGCGCGTCGTATGGAGAGGTAAAAAGCGATTGAGGAAGATATGAGTGACAGAGACGTTGAGAATGGAGGGAAAGGGTGAGCAGTGGCCGAGACTATTCTCTCTCTACCATTTGTAGTCTTTTTTTGAAAAGAGAGAGAGAAACAGAAGCAGTTTGAAAAGAGGAGCAGATGACCAGAGGGAAGTGGGAATTGAATAAGTTTTTTCCTTTCCTTTGAATCCATTTTTGGTCAGCATCCTAACAAAACCATTTTTAAGGACTGATTGGTGGTAAAAATAAGGGGCAATTAGAGGTTGTTTGGCAAACATTAAAAGAAATTATATTTTTTAAAATAATTTTAATAGTAACTATTTTAATAATATTGTTATTGTTATAATTCGGTAATGTCGTATGGCACTATTAGCGCATCAGGGCACCATTTTCCTTTTTCGGCTGTCGGAGTAATCATTAGAAATTCTCTTAACTTTTTATTCTTTTTGAATTATATCATTTTTTTTTTTATATCTTTTCATACAAAATTAAAATTTATATCCCAAACAGCACTTTACACTCACAAAAATTTTACTAATTTATAATTATTATTTTAAAATTCTTCTTTAAAAATAATAAAAAAGAGTGTTTTACTTTTTAAAAAAAAAATTAATTTTTTTAACTTATTATTAAATATTATAACCAGTTATAATAGATTAAAGCCTCATTTGTCAATTATATATTTTAGTTAAAAAGTCATTATAAGTTGTCAAATCACTCTCTCTATTTTTCTGAATATTTTTTCATAAAAAGTCAAAAAAATATTAAAATAATATTAAAATAATATGTTCCCAAACGAGACTTCAAATTGAAAATTTATACCAAGCATAATTTTTTTTAAATTATTTTAGTTTTAAGATTAAAAATTATAATCAATCAAAACTAAAAAGTGTTATTGTTTTTGCCATCCACCTATAAAATAAATAAGTAATAAATTACTTATTTAGCCTCCGTTTGGGAAGTGGGTTGGTTTTTTGACTTTTTAGCCTGAGCTAAAAAGTTTGGTTTGGGAAGGGCTTTTTAGCTTTTTTTACTTTTTTTGTGAGAGAAGAATGTAATGATTATGGATTATATGTGATATTTTATTTTTTGTGGCTAAAATAGCCTATTTTATTTTTTGTGGCTAAAATAGCCAAAAAAATCCCGTTTAGCTCTTGCCAAATGGAGCCTTAATGTCTAATTTTTATATATTAGTGGAGTTAGTAATATCATTTTTTGTGTCAAGCATAGTGCAAGTAAGCTAATGTGAAGTAGTTTATACATTTCATTTTTATATGTTTATTTATTTATTTTTTTTAGCAATAAGAAATAAATATTCAATATTTCATAATTTCGTTAAACTAAACTTTAAGAAAGTGCAATGTATAATCACAAACACAAACATACAAATACATAGAAAAAAGAATCACAACCCCCAAGGGTTGGCCTAGTGGTGAAGTCTTGGGGCTTAGGAGTTTGCTCCTCTCTAAGTCTCAAGTTCAAAATCTCTTAGGTGCTATTCCCAAAGATTAGTCGAAATGCGCACAAACTAACCCAGACACCCTGAATTATCAACAAAAAAAAAAGAAAAAGAAAAAAGACTCACATAAAAATAGGGAGAGTTGAACTTCTCAATTTTTCACACTATTATTGTATTCAAGCATCATATCTCTAACGCACCATAATTTATTCTCCTTATCAAAGTGCTTTTCTTTCTAATGAGCAAATCTTAGATCAATAATGATTCATTCCTCTAATTTGAGAGCTTTAATTAAGCATTAATGAGGTAGAAATTATAAATAAATAATAAATAAATAAAAAAATATCACATCAATTAACGGGGCTCACCCCCTAAAGCTCCTTTTGAGCTTATAGTTTAGAGTTCCCAAACATTTTTTATCTTTGATATTATTCTTCAAAAAATACTTGGAAGCTCTAATTAGAGCCACCACTAATGATGTGGCAGTGGGTCCCACACACTACCACAGTGTATGTTGTGTTTTTTTTTTTTTTTTCAATTTTCACCTCACTAATGGTAGATTTAGAGCTCTAAATCATTGCTGATTATTCTTTTAGTTAACGAGTTATTATGTACAATGCATAAAAAGAAAGATAAAACAAGTTTTAAGTCTCTTACGGTTGAGTTTTTCTAAAACTTATGTTAAAATTAATTGAAGCAAACTTTAGTGAGATATAATGAAGTGTATTGAAAAGTTGGTAAAAAGTTGGTTTTTTGATTTTTTTTAATTTTTTTGGTGTCTTATTTGATAAAAAAAAATTGGGTTCTTTTGAATAAAAAAGCTAAGCTAACTTTTTTAGCTAAAAAAATTAAAAAGTTAAAAAACTAACTTTTTTAGCTTATTGCCAAAATGCTCCAATATAATTCTCCTATAATTTTTTTGTCTCTTGGATTGATAACATCTTGATTTCGTATTACCAACATTTCCTTCAAAATTGGGGTTAATGGTCAACTTTCCCTATGTTTTGAACTTAATGACAGATAATTTAGACCAATTTAAAATTTTAAAATTTAAATTAAAAAAATTAAAAACTCAAGATTTGTATTTTTTTTTTTTTTTTTATAATCCCCACACCCAAAAAAGAAAAAGAAAAAAAAAGGGTATCACGGCTGGTTGGTTCTGTGTTACCGTGAGTCCAAAGGGTGGGAATCATATACCATCTGATTATTTTTAAATTGTGAAGCAATAACTCATATTGTAATTAATTCCGGATAGTGGCAGATCATTTAAAATGTTGGGTTTAGATAAAGAATAATGTTATATACACTAATTAATGTACTAATTAGTATTGTGGGGATATATTTTCTGGATACCAACACGTGGCATGGTGACGCCGACGTGTCAGCCGAGGTGCCACGTGCCCTGGTAGTTAAGCCGAGGTAATCTCGGAGAAGCCGAGGTCATCTCCGAAGATATCGGAGTCCGAGATAAGGGGCGAGAGTCCTAAGGCACAAAGGGGACTGAACCAAGATAAGGATAAAACTCTTAGGGAGTTTATCTTTATCTCTTAAAAGAGTCCAGAGTAAACAGCAGATTAGAGTTCATAGAAGTCATACTTCTAGTGGGACTTGGATTGAGTATATTATAAAAGAGAGGCACCCCCGTGGGTCTAAGGTATGTAATTTATATTCTGAGTATTCAGTTTAGTACTTGATTATCTTTGAGAGATATACTGACTTGATCGTCGGAGTGCCCCCGGGTGGAAGAACCACCGCCGGAGCTTTTTCTCTCTGTTTCAGGTTCCTTAAGCCATCTATTCTGCTTGTGCTCTCCAGCTGATCACTAAACGGGCAATGTGGTCAGATTTTCACCCACACATTATCATAGGAATAAAATCTGAAGATTCCAACAATAAAAAAATTAGAGGGTTGAATAAATAATACTATATGTATCAATTAGTGTACTAATTAGTATATCAATTGATAATATGACATAATTTAAGAGATTTTTGATATTTGTAATGCGATTAATAAGTGAGATTAATAATAATATCATAATTAGTGTTAATATACTAATTAATGCATGTAACACTACAGTTAAATAAAATATATTCATTTATTGTCACGTCCTGAATTTTGTATGTGACAACCATGTGTCCCTTGCAACTTCATGGCATGACATGGAAGGAGATGATGGTTCATCATAGAGATTCTTTCCGAGTTCATATAATTCCAGATTTGGACTCATATTTATAAGAACTGCATCAACTATAAATGGAAGATTTGATTAGAATTTTAGATTGAATAATGGCATACAAACAAAATTTTATATAAAAACTCTATATATATAATTTTTTTTATGATTTTTTATTTTATTATTTTTATTTTAATTAACGAATATAAGTTATTAATTGTTAACTTAATTTGTAACAGTATTTCTCCATGCTACACAGACCTTATATGGATATTTTATTTCAAGTCAAAATATTTATTTTTGTGACTTACAATTACATGGTTATTAACACAATGACAAATACATTTGTAAATCATTTTGCATTGAAAATTGGGAGGGGCACTGCATTTGACTGGTAATTATTTTACCTTTTTGTTTCTAAAATTATCCTTTAAATATGTTTAAAAAATAATAAAGTAAAAAAAAGTTGCCAAACCTACTCCACAATCCAGCAGTCACGCATGTGTATGTGGACCATAGTGCCTATACCGGGAGCATCTTTAACGGTTCACTTAATTTTTTATTAAATTTGAATAAAAAAATGATTATTTTTTTAATCTGATACAGAATGTTTTAATGGTTGATTTTTATCAAATATAGTCTAGCCCCTAGAGCTCATAATTTAGAACTTCCAAACATTTTTCTGATTTTATATATATATATATATATATTTTTTTTGAATTGTTTGAACCAATCCATTTGAACTATTTAAACCTTTTAGTGATCGACCGGTTGGTCAACCGGCCGGGCAACCGGCTAGTTGACCGGTTCAGCTCAGGAACAATAATTTGATAAAATCTGCAGCTTATTCTCAGTTTGATGATTTTTTTATTGAATTCTCATTTTAATATCAATTTGGTGAAACGGTTGAAGTACCAAAAAGTGCTTTTTTTACCAAAATTTAAATTTGATGCCAAGTTTGATTCACCGTTGGAGATGGTCTGATGTTGTGTTTAGATATTGAAATTGTGAAAGGATTTAAAGAGAGAAAATAAAATGAAAGAAATTTGTAAATAGAAACTTAACTTATGTTTGATTTTTAATTTCTTTTTTTCTTTTTCATTCATAAATTTCTCTTTATATTTAACAATTCAAATATACAGTCTAAGGCATTGTTTGACAAGTTAGTTTGTGTCTAAAATAGTTACAAAAGACAAAATAGACTATTTTAGTCACAACAAACAAAATATCACATCCAACCCATAATCATTACACTATTCTCTCACAAAAAAAGTCATAAAAGTAAAAAAATCCTTCTCAAACCAAGCTTTTTAACTCAGACTAAAATTATCAAAAAAGTTAAAAAGTCAAAAAATCAATCCACTTCCCAGACGGAGAGTAAGAGAGAATTCTATATTTGCAACCCTTAAACAATTATGATACTGTTTTGGCAGCTAAGATGCCTGCACTATGTGATTTCTAAAGTCAAATTTAATACAGATAGTTTGAACAAGGAACCAAATTGGTAAGAAAATATATTAGAAATTTAGAAAGTCAAAAAAACATACAAGTGGACACCAACTATGTAG